ACTGAAAATCGTGGGGCTGCAAGAGAATGTTAGTCAACGTTGGTACGGTAGCGTCAGCTTATCTGTGAAGTAGAGCTAGTATGCGAAGTGGCTTCCACAACTAGCAAGCTGACTATAGTTTGTATCACGGTGCCTGGACAGGGCGTGTCCACTGGCTCAGTTGTGTTCGACCACTGCATAGTGTGACCGATTTAGAAACAGGACACACCTAGGGCCTTTGATTTTTTTATGCTAATCTGCTTTACAGAGTCGTTATATGTGAAATGTCCCCTTCCCTTCCCAGAATTTCCTCATTTTCTTCGACCCGTCCTGTCCCACCTATCATCTTTCTAACTTTTCCCTATCTAATGCCAATTTCCCAAGAAATTTCAGCACTTCCTCTCCAGAAAAAAAACTGGCCTCGAGCGGATGGGGCAGGAGTGAGGTTGTCACCAATCAGCTCTGATTTCAACTGCCAGAAGTGGTGGTTGTATGGTAGTTCTGGGGCTCCTTTCAAGGTTCGGAAAATTTTTCAAAGGCAGTCACGCCCTCTGCAAGACCCTGGGATTGTCCCAACAACAAAGATGCTATACCCTCTGCCCTAGATCGGCAATGCTGTATCTGTACCAGTACTTTGTAATCTCCGTGGCGCTCCACGGGCACGCAGTCCAGGCGCTGCGATATATGTATAGCACGTAGTTGTGATTTCGTCGTTGAGGTTGAGCTGTTCGCGAAGCGTTTGAGGGTTTTTTGTTCCATTCTGTATTTTCAAAATATAATTTTCGAATTCAATTCAGGACGACCGTCAGCCTCATCACCTTCGGCGTTGCGACGTGGAGCTCATTCGCCGGTGTCGTTGTACCGCCCACCAAGTGCTACGAATCTTTTCGCTGCACCAAGGTATGCTTTCGTTACGAGTACCAGCCCTACCTGCTTTGGAAATATTTATTGGGAAAAGTTAATGAAACTGAGAAAAGAGAGAGAGAGGGAGAACGCAAAACGTTGAAGTGCATGCAGAATGCCTTGCTGGCCGAACCAATCGATTTGAACGGAAGTATGAAGTATATCCCACGGTGATCGCATAGGCTCAGTTGATTGGATCTTTGGGTCTCTTCAGCGGGTCCGGTCCTAAGGTTGTAAAGAGGAGGGGGGAGCATCAGTCGGTGGTCGTCCTAACTGCGCCCATACGATCAGCTTAAACGTGCCTTCGAGTGACAGCTGAATATGCGCGAATGACCCTGATTATGGCTCTGGGCGATATTTATGATGTCCTTTTATTTTAGTTACCTGATGGGTTCGAAAAAATCCATCGATCATTTTTAACATTTTCGAAAGTTTTGATAGGTTGCATATTTCAATGACTTTCAGGTCTCCAAACCCGCTACAACAGCAAGGTTATGTCAGTGCAGGCTCACGAGATAACTTGGACCAACACCGAATGGTAAGAGTTTGACTTAGTACTAAGGTTAAACAGAGTTCCGCTTTCCAGTCTTGCCAGAAGAAATTGTACTACAGTTCTAGACGCAGTTCGGCTAGGTGGGGGCATTTTGCTGGTTACCATCGATCATTGCCGGTACCTCCTGTGGAGCCTTGTTGACCTTTGTAAAGCTACCTAACGTAGCGCAGGCTTACTTTACACTTGACGATAGTCTACAGGTCCGACCAAGGTGAGACAAGTTAACAAGAAAAAACGAGCTAACTGGAGGAATGCCCCTCCCCCCTCCAGGCCGAATAGCGCCAGTTTTATTGAGCACGGTTCCAAGTCACTTTGGTTTTCGAGTTATAGTTCACCTAAAGGCCGTGGACCCGATTACTGGGGGCGAGCGGCTATTATCAAAGTACTGCGAGAGGGCATTTGGCCACCCCCACCCTCCCCATTCGAGCCTTCCACCAATGACATTGGCAACAATCGTCCACCTCCAGCGATCGCGTCCCCTGCCTTTAATGTGGAGCAAAGTAAATGAAACAGTAAAACTTAGATAGTTATGGTTTACAGCTTTGATTATTTAGAATAGTTTCGCATTTTGCAGAGCGTACCATCATCGCCACCAGCAGCGCATTCTTCACCTCGTGAAGAGCATCGAGTACCACCTACGTCATCCTCCACACATCACTCGATGGTCAACAACTACTCATCCTCTCTTCCATCTCCTCTGAATCGACCCAGCTATTCCAATTCCAACTACCAGCAACTTCCTGTCAAAGCCATCCCGACCGTAAGATACCTCCCAAAAGGACCCACATCACCGTCGTCACTACCGAACGGAAATGTCGCCTATGGAAAACCGCCAATGTACAGCAATCCGTCCGTAGGACGACCCCAGCATGAAGCTGTGGTTGTTCGACCAATCGAATTGTCAATGCCGAAAGAAGAAGTGAATTTGAGGCATCGTGACGAACATCCACGATCGACAACAACTTTTGGAGTTATGGCACCGACAGCGTTTACCCAGGTAGGTAGAGGGGTTTTAAGCCCCTTTCTGATTTCCTATGCGACTACGGAGAAAATCAGTGTTGATTCAGGCGCTCCAAGCTGGAGGAGCACATGAAGCTAGAGTTGTGCTGGCCCCTCCTCGTCATTCGGGTATCGACCGAGAGTTGCGGAATTTGGAGAGGACCAACACGGCCCTTATGGTAAGTACTTGATCGTCGATTTCCGTTGAAGGTAAAACCTGCGGTCAGATATTCTGGGTAGTGGAGCTGGTACAGAGATGCCAAGAAAGTCAATGGATTAGATAATAGTACAGAAAAAATAGCTGTCAAAGCCTTACTAATCCCCCCCCCCCCAACGGAGGCATTTGTATGATCGAAGGGTGAGCAAAGCGTCACGGCCGAGATTACCGGACTGTGGCGTTGTGGTCGATGTGGACGCCGCAGTTGTTCCCAGCTAATTTTTTTATTAGCAACGATGTCCCTCTCTACGTTCTTGGCGGGTTTCCTGTTACTAGGGCTGGGTAAAGCAAATGGAGTTGGGCCAGTCAAGGTAAGGTGCGAGCCAGCAGTAACAGCGACATTTCTTCTGCCGTCGCGGACCTCGGAGCGACACTTGGTGATAAAAAACTACCTCTTTTTCCTGCGTTTCAAATCGTTTTCCAATCTGGCCTATTTCTAGCCCAAAGAAACACTTCGCCCAGCGACTGAGGGATGGAGACTCTCTCTATGAATTCGTGGGGAGGGGGGGGGGGGAAGTAGGAGTTCAGAGCTTTCAGTGGACACATTTTGACATACAAGGCTAAGTCAGCGCTCATTCAGTCTTCTCAGCGTCATCCCGAACAACTCCTATGGCAATTGACCACTCTCAGAGAGGGCACAGCATCTGATGAAATGGTGGTGTTCACGTAAGACCCCCCCCGCTCCTCTTTCCCTTCCCGCGGACACCTAACTACCACATTCAAGGCTCCTAGCTTCCTACGCAGTTTTTTGTCAAATTTCCCCACGTTATCTAGTTTTCACCTAAAGCTTCCTCTTCCGAGGGGGGTAAATAACACACGTGAAACGGGAGAATCTCTCAAATTTTCCCCAACTTTCTACCACTTTTTCTGGGATTTCTCGGAAATTCTCCTTTTACACGCGGGAAAAACGCCGAAAGTAAAACCGCGAAATTTTTTTTCCAACGCGGCAAATTTCTCTCGAAGGCACATACCAACCCGCCCCTCTCCCAAAAACGAGCAAATACGAACCCCCTCCCCAGCGGCCATGTACGATTCCCCATGTGTCACACAGGGATGCTGTACCCCGCTCACAGACAAAGCGCGGCTGGAATCGATCACCCACTCTTGCAGTTGTGATGTGGCGCTTTTAACTTCTGAGTCCACTTCTGATTGCGATTTCGTCTCGTCAAAAGCTGAAAGTCGTCTTTGCTGCAGACGCTAGGGCGTGTCAAGGGTCTTGGTTCGGCGCGACGACAGCCCGCCAATTGTTGTCATTTTCGCCCCAACAACTGATGAAGAACGAGCTAACGCCAGCAGGCTTCAGCTCCTTGACACGCGCCAGCGTCTAAAGCGGAGACCACTGTGCCTTCTTCTGGATTCAAATCTTATCTTTTCTTTATATTGGTCTGACTAGATATTCACAGCCAGAAACGACCAAATATGTTGACTGATTTCAGTCTCATGACGCAGTAAATGAGGAATTGGATCGATTAGATGCGAAGGGTATCAATATGACTGAAGAAGAAACTCGACGGTATAGGTAGGTTTTTTCTGGACGACTTTTTTGCGAGATCTTTTTTTACATGAATTTTTGCAGTTTTCACGACTGCGTCGATGAATAGCTTTTCTTTTTTTTTCTAATTTGAGAAATGAAACAGAGGTTTCGGAACGATTTGGCTTGGGGGGGCAAGAAGTGCTATAAAGCAAAGCTTGTACAGGCCACCTTGTAAAAACTTGTGAATACCGATGGCTAACCCTGACCACTTGCACCATTTTGCAGTTTGACAAGAGTTTGCAGGTCTTACCAAAGTGAGATTTATCAGGTATCATCAACTACCAAAATTAACTATTAAAAGTGCTTAAATCGGAAGA